AAAAGGATGAAAGCACAGATAGTTAAAGGACAAGAGTATACTACTATTTCAGTTTAGAGTAATTCAATGAAGCTAAGGCATAAGATACCTGTTGGAGCTTGTTTCTGTCATTCTGAACAGTAGTTACTGTGTTCCTTTCAGATGTAGTACATTACCTTATGATAGGGCCACATAGACTGCATGAGGAATCTTTTTTCCTTTTTCTTTTTTTCTTTTCTTTTTCTTTTTGAGATAGCATCTTACTATAGTCCAGGCTGGCCTAGAAGTCACAGCGATCCTCCTGCCTCAACCTCCCGAGTGCTGGGATTACAGGCGTGAGCCATCATGCGCAGCTGCATTCAGAATCTTTTCATAAAGACTGGAATTCTTTCTTGGCAGCATCAGCAGTAACAAAGATGTCTTAGTTGTTAACTTGCCATAGCATTTGGGGTCTGAGTGACTTATCTTCTGCCTGTGGGATGCTTTTGCTAAAATGAAAAAGGGAACCAGGTATTTAGGAGTTATTCTTATGTGTGGGAGAAGCGGCTTTGTGTCCATGGGTGCCGTTCGTGGTATTAGGATGCCTCATGTGTCCCCTACAGCGTCTTCCTTCTTACCAGATGCTCCACATCAAGAAGCAGAGTGTCCTGAGTGTAGCTGCTGAAGGGGCTAATGTGTGTCGCCATGGGAAGCTGTGTTGGCTTCAGGTAAGAGATTTTTAAACATTTTTTATTTTGGAATACTTACTAGTGATAGTTGATATATTTTAAATATTTTATGACTGTCCGTTTGTAATAGAGAATAGTGATGTCTGTTTGGGGGAGTAATTGGTGCATGCGTGTAACACAGGGGGATCATTTTTGTTCCTTTCCCTCCCATTCCCAAATTTCCCCCCTCCTTAGTTCCTTCCCCATCTGTAAGAGTCTACCTTGTTGCTTCTTAGCATCTCTCAATTCCTCTATTCTTTTCTTTTCTTTCTTTTTTGAAATAGCATCTTGCTATGTAGTTCAGGTTGGCCTTGAACTCACTTTGTAGCCCAAACTGTTACAAACTGGTCTCAAACTCACAGCAATCCTCCTGCCTCAGCCTCCCGACTGCTGGGAGAGCTCTTCATTATTTAATTTAATTTAATTTAATTAATTAATTTATTTATTTATTTATATTTTAGGTTTCTTATATAAGAGAAACCGTGCAATATTTAACTTTCTGTGTCTCACTTACTTTGCTTAGCATGATGGTCTCAGGTTCCATACATTTTCCTATAAATGACCTGAACACATTCTTCATGGTTGAATAGTGTTATGTATATGAACTACATTTTCTTCATCCATTCATTTGTTGACAGGTACCTAGGCTGTTTTCACAGATCAGCTATTACAAATTGCACTGCTATAAGCCTTGGTATGCATGTATCACTGTAATACGATGTTTTTAATTCTTTTGGGAATGTACTCAGAAGAGATATAGCTGGCTCAAATGAAATTTCTATTTTTAGTTTTTTTTGCAGAATTTCCATACTGATTTCCATAGTAGTTGTTCTAGTTTACATTTCCACCAATAATGTCAAGGGTTCCTTTTACCCTACATCCTCATCAGCATTTATTGCTTTTTATATTCTGGCCATTCTGGCCATTCTAAAATAAGATGGAATCTCAGAGCTGTTTCATTTCTCTAATGGCTAAAGGTGTTGACTTTTATTTTGTTTTGGGCACTGAGGAATGAGCCCAAGGCCTTTGCACTCAGTACATGGTCTGGCTAAACTGCCCAAGCCAGGCTTAGGACTTTGTAATAGTACTGCTTTAGCCTCCCAGAGTGCTGGGATCATGGGTGTGTTGGCCATTTGTACTTTGTTGGGGAGGTAGTATTGGGGATCAAACCTGGGGTTGCTCTATCACTCAGCTATGTTCCCTGACCTTGTTCAAATTTAAAATTTTGAGACAGGGTCTTGCTAAGCTGCCCTAGTGGAACTTGAACTTGTGATCTTCCTGCCGCAGTCTCCTAAGTGCTAAGACTACTTGTGTATTCTTCATGCCTGGCTTATTTTTCTTATTTGAGGAATGTCTGTTCAGTTCACTTGCCCATTTTTGTTTGGGTCATGTGGTTTTGGGAGGTTACTTTTTTTGAGTTCTTTATCTGTCCTAGATATTAGTTCTCTATCAGAAGAGTAGCTGGCAAGCCAGGTGTGGTGGCACATGCCTGTAATCCTTGCACCATGGGAGACTGAGGCAAGAGGATCACAGATCAAGACCATTCTGGGAGACTTAGTCAGTGAGCAAGACCCAGTCTCAAAATGAAAATTTCAGAAAGGGTTGGGAATATAATAATAGCTCAGGAAGAAGGCCCTGTCTTAAGTCCACAGCACTACAAAAAAGCAGCT